CAGCTCCCAGGGTGCTCAGATCTGGCCCACAGGGTGCTCTGACCTAGGGTTCCCAAGCAGCACGAAGCCGAGTCCTCGTCCCGATAAACCCCTTTTATTTAATTTACAGGGAATTCCTCTCCAACGACGTCTTCCCTCTCCCACAGTCTTTCAAGATAGCTCACAATTGCTGACATTTATCAGGCTTGGAGAGTGGCCAGGCGGAGATCTTTCAGATGCAATAATGCAGGAATGAACTAATTGTCTCCTGCAAACTCCACTCCCCTTTCGCTCCTCTTTTGTTCCCTATGGGAGGGGCCATTCACCATCCGCTTGTGCCATTACTCCCAAGTCGACCCTTGTTCCTTAGCTGCTCCCTTTGTCTGGCGACTCTGCACATACGCACACCGGGAACAGGCTCCAGCTGTTCCTCTGTTCCACTGATCTCCAACTCCAAAGGCAGCTGATAACTGGCATACAGCCCTGGCCCCCTCTCTGCCTCCGACACAGAGCCCTCATCAGAGCCTTCCCCAGACTCCAGGACTGGCCCAGGTTCCTCCCCAACCTCCCCACTGTCCGACTCTGCCAGGTGCCAGCTCCACTGGCCCCTGATGTGGCACAACATTGTTATACAGGGCCGGCAAAGGATTGGCTCGTAGTGCCTCTGCCAGTGAACATGGACCTTGGGAAGAGGGGAGGCAGCTGGCAAAGGGCTGCGGGAGTCTGTCGCAGCCCAAAACAGGGCCCCTGAGCTCCATGCGTTGCACAGTAACAACCAACAATCCATTTTGCTTGGCAATCCAGGCGGTTTCAACCACCTTACGAAATCTACTCCATTTCTGGGTACGGTTGAGGATTACTTTCCCCGCAAGGCCGCTGATGAAAAATCAAAATTGTAGGTGGTATCTTGCATGCCCATTGTCCATACTTCTGCCACTGGCCCAGTTCACTTCTTCATGGAATGGGACAACTGGCCACAGCCAAATCGGTGCCGCCAACTCAGCCCGGCCAACTTTCTGCAGCACAACTCGCCTTGGGACAATTTGACAATTCTATTTAATTATTACAAGTGAATTAAATCTATATATTTTAATTATGGCCATTCCCATTTCACTCCTTTGGCTTCGCTTCTTTCTTTAATGGTTCTATTCCAAACTTTCTTTGACATTAGTGTCATTCTCGCCCCGCGTCAGGCTGTCCTACGATGAGTTGACTTTGGCAGGTTGGCCGTGGCCAGTTGGCCGTGGCGCGTTGTCCTAGAGCCACGGGTTTAATACCACCGCAGCTGACCTGCTGATTTCTTCGCAGAATTCATACGGATGCATTGCACCTCTAACCCGGATTGGTGGATGCCTTCCGAAGAACAGATCAACAAAGTTTTTAGCGATGCCGTGGGACACGCCCGCCAAGGACGGGCAGTGGGGACATTCCTGCACAACGGGAACTCATACTACGATGGGATTGACCAACATAGTTGCCACGAGGATCTCTTCGGCAGAGGTATCCATGACGGCTCCGGAGACTGACGGCGGGAAGGAAGGGCGATCCGCACGGGGGGACGCCAGTTTGGGTGTTCGGTGTTCTGTTTTGATGTGAATTAAGGACCCAAAGCATGTTGAAAATTGAGTTTTGTCCAAGGGCGGTGCGTAAATGTTGACCCCTGCAGCCAGATGTCTGCGATTCCCATCAGTGTGGTTCGGAGATCGGCTCCTACAGGTTCGGACCGGTTCGGCTGAACCGGTTGTGATTTGTTGGCCTGGGTCGCCAGAACCAGCAGTGACCCAGGTCCACCACACCTCTGAACCAGTTCTCCGGTCGGCGTGTTTCCCCCCCCCCCCGTTTTTTAAGACCTATTTATGGGCAATTGCGCAGGCGCGCGGAGCAAAAATTGTGCGCGCACCGAAGCGGCAGCAACACCCGCCGCAACCCACCCCTGGTGTGGTTGTATTGTCATTTGTGCCAGATTGTTAAAAGCCTTGTTGAAATGCTTGTCCTGCAAACAAAGAAGGGAATACAGCTAATCTTCGATTTGCCATTCATTTAGTGACCGAAGTAACGACGACACTGGGGAAAAGCGGGCCGTGGGACCGTTTTTCATGCCACCAAACTTTGCACCATCCCCATGGTCACATGATCAGATGCTCGTCTTTACGGCGATGGCAGGCCTCATATTTATGACTGCAAGCATCACAAATAGGAGGCCGTTGCCAATTTGGATGGCGGGAAGCTTTTGGGGGTGGGTACTGCAACGGTCGTAAGTGTGAAAAATGGCCCTAAAGTCCCTTTTTTCCCCAGTGCCATTGTAACCTCGGAATGGTCACTAAGCGAATGGTTGTAAATGGAAGGCAACCTGTATGAATATTTCTCTGTAACTGAGAAATATCCAAAACAGCAGCACGGATCTCATTCGCTTTGTTTGGAGAGTTGCCCGTAATCCACATTTGTGTTTATGTTTTTTTTTTTTTGAGAAGGCGCTTAAATTATTCTCCCATTCTGATAGGCCAGCATTAGCCAATCAAAGCCAGGTTAAAAGAAAGCATTTTCTCTCATTTCATCAGATGCAATCATGATTTTACTTTTAACCAACCCTTTCTCACCTCTTTTTCTTTCTTCTGTCTTTCTTTCTTTTTCTTTCCCTCCTTCCTTCCTATTTTCTTTCTTTCTTTCTTTCCTTTCTTTCTTTATCTCTTTCATTTTCTGCCTTTCTTTTTTACTTCCTTTCTCTTTCATTTCTTTCTTCTTTCCTCTTCTCTTTTTTCTTTCCTTCCTTCCTTTCTATTTTTTCCTTTTTTTCTTTTCTTTCCTTCCTTCCTTTCTCTTTCCTTCCTTTCTTCTTTCTTGCCTTTCTTTTTCTTTTCTTTCTTTCCTTCCTTTCTCTTTCCTTTTTTCTTTTCTTTCTTTCCTTCTTTCCTTCCTTCCTTTCCTTTTTTCTTTTTATTTTCTCTTTTTCCTTCCTTCTTTTCTCTTTCTGTTTCCTTTCTTCTTTCCTTCTTTTCTTTCTTTCCTTTCTATCTCTTTCCTTTCTTTTTCTTTTCTTTCTTTACTTCCTTCCTTTCTCTTTCCTTTCTTTCTTCTTTCTTTCCTTTCTTTTTTATGTTGTTTCCTTCCTTCCTTTCTATTTTTCCTTTTTTCTTTTCTTTCTTTCCTTCCTTCCTCTTTCCTTTTTTCTTTTCTCTTCTTTTTCCTTCCTTCCTTCTTTTCTCTTTCTGTTTCTTCTTTCCATCTTTTCTTTCTTCTTTCTTTCCTTTCTATCTCTTTCCTTTCTTCTTTTTTCTTTTCTTTCTTTTCCTTCCTTTCTCTTTCCTTCCTTTCTTTCTTTCCTTTTTTATTTTATTTCCTTCCTTTCTTTTTCCTTCCTTTCTTTTTTCTTTTGTTTCTTTCCTTTCTTTCTCTTTCCTTTTTTCTTTCTTTCTTTCTTTCCACAATCACCCTATTTGGATTCTTAATTTCTTAAATCTGTGACATTGCAGTGATGGGTGCTAAATATGGATGAATAAGATGACGTTTAAACTACGTAAGACTGACGGTCTGAAAAACTTAGTCCTACCACAGATGCTTTGAAGGAGCACATTTGGAAATGCTTCTTAATCCAGTTCGAGCATTGGGTTTTAGTTAGAGCTAGCTCTATTCAGTTGCTCACCCACCCTTACGGGATTATGGGTTCATTAACTGATGATGATGATTTAAACATCATCTTTATGAATTAAAGTTAAAAAAAGGCAGTCAAAACATCCCCAAGGAAGGCCATTCTGAATTTAACATTTGAAATATTAAACTGCAAGTCCCAAAGATGCTTTATTTCTTTTCAAAAGGCAATTGAACTTCGTTTTTTCTTGAAGTTATATCTTTTTTTTAAAAAATTCTGTTTCTTTTAAGACAGTTACTTTAAGATTTGGGGTTGTTTTTTTTTGTTCTTTTAAATTGGAAGAGCATGATCCCAAAAGGAAGATATTTTTTGCAGTGCAATCCTCCTGTTGAATAATATAATCTTACTCCTAAAGGAACGGAAATGGTATAAGGCGTTCTGCTTCAGCAGGGGGTTGGACTAGAGGACCTCCAAGGTCCCTTCCAGCTCTACTCTGATTGAAAAGAGAGGTTAGGGTTAAGGTCGGGAGCCTGACTGATTGCAAGGCCATGCTCAACTCATTTTCATTTCAATTCAATTGGAATAGAAAGAGCTTAATTATTATTTTTTTAATCCTCGGCGCCATCAAACATTATTTGGAACAAATGTCAATTTTTTGCATCTTACTATAATTTGAGGATTTCACAGACACCCCCCAACATCTGTTCCTATATCTAATCTGCTAATCTGATCAGTAGAATTTCAAAGCCGCCGGAAACTCCCGTGTATATTTAAAAATAATAATAATAATGTCTATTCTTCCCAAACTGTAGCAAGTCTGTTCTAGCTGTTTCGTGTTGTGTGTATGTGTGACAAAATTACCTCAAAATGCCACATCCCTCTTACGGCGTGGCCTCTTTAGTGGTGTACCCTTCCTGTGATGAGGCTTGTCCATCCCTTTGGTGAATACGTTGTCTGATAGGACACATGCGTCCTCATTGCTCCGCTGTATAATGTCATTGTATGAACCATTTTTGTGTAACCTGCGTGCGATCCCGTGTTGGTGTGTAGTGTGAAGAAAGTACCCGCCGTTCGAATTCAGCACATCAAAGCTTCGTAGAGAAAGACCTCACTAAAAGCAATACCAAATGAGATTTCCTAACGCCATCGCTCAAACGCGGCTCTTTTCCTTCGATCCCTCTTCTCGGTTCCAACGATCTGAGGTAATATTCAGCCGGTTCGGGCCGGTTCGCCCTAACCGGTCGCAGCAAGTGGGCCTGGCCACCCGCCTTGGCTCCCAAACGTCCGATGTGGCCTTGTTTTGGACACCACATGCATGCGTGCACTCTGCCTGCACGAGCCCGCGTGCGTGCGTGCACACATTTGCGAACCTGTGGCAAACTTATGTGAATGCCGACGATGCATTCTAAAGTACAATGGGGATAGAGCACCTTGTATCTACAGCAAGATGTCCAACCTTGGCCACTTTAGGAGCTGTTGACTTCAACTCCCAGAATTCCCCAGCCAGAAATGGTTTGGAATTCTGGGAGTTGAAGTCCACAGCTCATAAAGTAGCCAAGGTTAGATATCTTGGGTCTATAGATTCTAGACTTGCACCCACCATTACTGTGTTTCCCCGAAAATAAGACAGGGTCTTATTTTCTTTTTTTACACACACACACACACCGAAATAAGCGCCTGGCCTTATTTTGGGGGAGCTCTTATTATTTTTGAGGTGCAGGAGGCGCCGAGCGTGGTCACCTCACGGCTGCTGCTGTGTTGCAGTATTTTTGGGGAGGGTTTATTTTTAGGGGGAGGGCTTATTTTTAGCGCATGCACTCAACAGCCCGATTGGGCTTATTATCCGGGGAGGTCTTATTTTCAGGGAAACAGGGTATAAACAAGTTGAAGGGACTAAAGGTTATTTCTAGGCACCACAGATAAGGAAAGGTAAAACTGACCGTTACGTCGGAGTCTTATCTACTATCTTGCCTCCATCTGGCGGAAGAAATTAGGTCCTTTTTCGTTTCTTCCTGGAAATGGGAGATACTTTCCAGTATGGAAAATGGGTTTTCTAATATTGTCGAGTATGGCATTAGGGAGACAATACTAGAGTAACTTTTACATCCTCATTGGAATTCTGGTATTATAGAAGCTAGAAAGTTTGAACAAAATAGCCGCGTTATGTATTTTACATTGCATATAAAATTGCTAAATGATGGTGGTGGCCTAGAGGTGGTGCTCTCGTCTCACAATCAGGAGACGGTGAGTTCGATCCTAGGGAGAGGCAGATATTTCTCTCTCTGGGCGCAATGAGAATAGCTCTGCTGAACAAAACTCCGCATTGGCGACAGGTAGAGCAGTTGGCCAGGAAAACACTCTGCTAGCTCCATTCAGTTGCCCAGACTCCACCCCTGCAAGGGATTATGGGGGTCTTTGAAAGAAGATGATAAAATTGCTAAATGCTGAAGAACTACTACTATGAGAAAAATAAAAAAAAACATGGAATCTCATGAATCTCAAGGTGGCGCAGTGGTTAAATGCAGCACTGCAGGCTACTGCTAGATCAGCAGGTCAGCGGTTCAAATCTCACCGGCTCAGGNTAGGTACCCTTCACCTGGAATCAGGTGATCGGCTAGCTTCTTTCAGGAGATCAGCAGGGGAGCCAGTTGGCTGAAGAGGCTCAGGGCAGGCAGCCTGGAACAAGCTGCCCCATTTTCCACCAGCCAGAAAGCTGTTTTCAGTGCCCCTCCTCAAAACCAGCAAACCTCTGCTGCCAGAGACAGATAATAGTCCCACGCTGCTTTTTAAAAGATGTTCCCTTCATTTTGAATGTAACTGTCACAATCTCTAAAAGGGTTAATCACACCGGATGGCTAAGTTGAAAGGGAATAGCTCTACCTTTATTCTGTGATGAATGCAAGAGGTAGAAGCCAGAACTGGTTGAACTAGCTGGATTCACATTTCAGTAGAATGTGTATTACTTTGGTTCCTCCATATCTCCCCATTAACTGTTGGGCAGAGTAAAAGCAGACTTTAGAACAAAAGAACCCATCCATTTTTCAGCACTTTGCAAGTATTCCCACCGTAAGATGCACCTCCGTGAACAGAAAGTCTAGAGATTTCTATTAGATAAGAAAGTACTTCCAATTCACCTGCAGATGAATGCTTCTAGGCAAGTGAGCCTCCAGGGACTAGTTGGCTAAATTCATGATTAAATTCATTTCCTCTCCTCTTGTAGTTAGGCAG